AAAGGAAAAGGGGTTAGGGTTTGGGGAGGTGGGTGGGGCTTTGTATTAATCTCAATATAATCCAACGATCTAAAATTTACAAAATATTAGGGGTGTTTTCTGTCAAATAGGGAGTAGACAGTCCTGATGGATAGGCATTGAACAAGGACACAAGGATGGCTGCTTCTCCATTCCACTGGTGCATGAGATTTTCTTAGGGCATCTCTAGCGTTCAAATTGTTTCTATGACATACGGCTAACATTTAAGTTCATACCATATGATGGTGAGACCATAGAGCCCACTCTCACTGATCACGGGCATTTGTGGGAGGAATCAAACAGCACAGAGCTCCCTTGCACATGGATCTAGCAGTGGGTCCTGCAAGTATGCATTTTGTATCTCTTTGACTCTTTGGCTCGAACCAAAAATTCGGTTCGATTTTGTGTGTCTAGACAATATGATTTAGTCGTTGCAGTGGCATGATTAGATTTTTGAGTCCCTTGGTTTGATTTTTTTAAGCACACTGCAGATGGTCTTAGAATAAGAATCTTAAAGGAAGAATCTTAGGGCCCCTTTGAATCATAGGATTTTTATAGGAATTTCATAGGATTCAAATCCTATAGGAAATTTACCTATTTGGCCCTTTGATTCAAAGGATTGAAGCTTTCCAAATACTATGAAATTCCTATGGAATGATACATTGCATGTGGATTTTGAAGGAAATTTAGCAAGAGCTCCAACCTCTTGAAAAATTTCCTTTGAGTCTATCTCTCTCATCTGATTTCTACGTTTTTCCTGCGCTCCAATCAAACGACCATTCCTTGGTTTTTCCTGTGATTTGCAATCCCCTATTTTACACTTCAATTCCTATCAGAATCCTGTGTTTTTCCTATCCCTCCATTTTTTCAACCCTGCGATTCAAAGGGGCCCTTAAAATGGCCATAATGTCAAAAGCTGGGTCACAGTGCAGTGCTACCTAGCTATAGTTGAGAATAATTAAGACATGGAGCCAAGCCAAACCATGAATGGAGATGGCCTATTGGTCTTTTTCTTTTTATTTTAAAGCACAAGCTGAGGCCCAGAGCCTTAGGGGTGGTCATATTTGTAAGAGATGGAGAGTACAAGGTTTGTAGAAAAGCCCCTTGCAGATGGGTAAATTACACGAGCATACCAAATGCAAAGAAGAATTCTAAAATAAATAAAAGAGGCAATCCTCATCTTCATATTATTTACAAGAATAACAGTCAAATCTATGCGAGCATAGATGACGAAAACGATGAATCCATGGCAAGCTATAGAATGGAGATTCTAGGTGCAAACCCAAATGGTGCCTCCTACATTTGGAGGTCGAAGCAAGCAAGCATGCCAACAGTGAATACATCAACTGCAACTAAGAGATCTGTCATCGGGGATGAAGAAGGTTACCGCTCTCGTGGTTGGGTCACCGGAGAAAAGACTTGGAGCGGCCAGCACCACCTTCCAAGGGTCAGGTTGAAGGGCAAGCCCCACACTCAAAGAAACTTTGTCATGCCCCTAGCTCAGAGCGCTAAGGGAGAACCCAAAGGCTATTGGTAGAGGGTCCGTCCCCGGAGAAAGCTCCAAAGAGAGCCACCATGGTTAACAAAAAGGGGACAAGGGGGAAGGATGCCAGCAGGGTGAAGCTACAGTCAATCATAGACGTTTTGCAAACCTCTCGTACCCCTCTTTATTTTACCATCTATGACCCCAACGAAGACAAAAACTAGACCCCGATGCTATTGCTGATTATTCTGTCAAAGCCCAACTAGCGACTAGGAACGATACTAACAAACAACAACTAGAAAATTAGCTAGCACTTATGATTTATACGTCAGCCCAATATACATATACGATTGTGATTTGGGTCCAAAAATAACTCCACAAATTCTCTTGTTGCGTCATCATATTCCTTCGAGCACTTTGTCCCGCACCGGCGTTGCACATCTTGACATCTTATATCATCCTATTTCTAGCAGAACGAAAGGCAAGAAATTAGTTGTTTTGATAATCTTTGGTGCATTTGATGTCTTTTACAAATTAATAATGTATAGTTTTTAACAAATTTGTAGAAATTTCATTTTATCATAATGTATTGTCATTAATTTTGTCTTGTATTATGTATAGTGTTAGATCATTAATTACAAACTAGATGACATTTCCGATTTAATGTTTGATTCCAATGTAGCGATATGACTTTTTCACCAAATTTCAATAAGTTTTGATACAGTTTTGCCGTGAATTCTCAAAAAACATTCAAAATGTCACTCAGAATATACTTTTCGTCCCACGTTGAAACATCAAAATTACATGATTGTCAAAAACATAAACCCTGGTTAATACTAACCCCGGTGACCATTTATCTAGGCTTCACCCCTGGATGCCAGGAAGTCCCATGGGCTACACAAGAAAGAGGAGGAAGAGCAAACAACGGGATTAACCCGTGTATAGGAAGGACCTGACAGTTCCCTGGACCCCCTACCCCTTGTCGAAAATTGATGGCCAGCGGAGACGAATACGAAAGGGAGTCAAATGAGAGGAGAGAATAGTGGCTTCTAGAGTCGCCTCTTGGAGCTGACTGATAGAGAGAACTCCGGGCCACATGGTATGGCAATTTTTTGTTGGTCAGTTGGGTTTTCATTTCTCACACAAGATGAGGTGTTGCTGAAAGTGCATCTAGGTCCCTAATTATTTTGGTGGTTATTGATAATCGATTAGAAAGAACTAACAATGTTTGTTGAGAATGTGTATAGTGAATTTAGTCCTTCGATAGTATGGAAAGATCGGATTCAGCAAATCCAATTGACAAATGAAAAAAGTGTATGGCAAAATCTCCTATAGGAAAAGTCGTACTATAAAGAGAGATGTCACTTTAAAACGTAGGGTTGAAAATTTAGTGCTCCAATTTCTTGCAAAGTGTTTCCTTGAAAAACTTTAAAGTTGCTTGAACTTTCAACAAATTGAAATATCCAATATTGTTTAAGAGTATCCGAAATGACATTTTGTGGTTCTGTTGGAGAAAATATCGTAATTTTCGATAAGGCCACAAGTGCTTCTGTTGAGAAAAATATTAGAATTTCCGATATGGTCGCAAGTGGTTTTGTTGGAGAAAATATCGGACTTTCTGATATGCACTTTGGAATTTTCGATATGGCCATAAATGCTTCTATTAAGAAAAAAATGGGAATATCTTATGTGCATATTGGAATATCCGATGTGGCGTGCTTTTGGCTCAGTTGGAGTTTGAACATCGGAATATCCAATATGAGAACTCTTTGCCTCCAACAGCTAGATTTGGGTGAGGGCTATAAATAGCCTCTCCCCAACCCCAAGCTAAGGTTGCTAGACACATTGAACATTCTTGTGCTCTTGGCTTGAACTTATTGACATTCACTTTGAGCCTTGCTTTCCAACCTTCCTCTCTCGTTCGATCTACATGATTTGGCTTTGTGTGAGTGGATTAGCTTTGGAAGATCTAGTGCTTTGTGCATTCTTACTTTGTTTTTTAGCACTAGCTTTTCAACCTCAAGGAGTTCTTATTACATCTATTACTCTTGGAGGTTGAGGACTTCTAGATGACTAGGTGTCACCCTTGAGCCACCAATCCGAGTGTGGTGTGTTGAGGAAAGTTTGTGAAGGCCGGATCTCGCCCTCGCAATGAAAAAGATACCACTAGTGGAAGGAGGAGTGTGTTTGTGCAACCTCAAAAGGAAAGAATTATCAAAGACCTGGCTCTTTGTGAGCTCCTCAATAGAGAGTAAAATCCCCTCAAGGATTCGAACTTCGGAATATACATCTTCTTGTGAACCTCGGTGATATCTCTCTATCTCTTGCATTTCCTGGTAGCTTTGCTTAGCTTATTGTTGCTGCAAGTAATTAGTTGTTGTTTGTGCTTATATCTTGTGGTAGATTTAGATATAGCTCTCTTACTTGGCTCAACTTGCTGTCACAATGCACTTCGGAAGTTCCAATAGTCATATCGGAAATTCCGATCCGATCAAAATATCTGACATCTCAGAATATCTTGTACATTACACTCATAGTGTACAAATTAAACTTGTGCGTGGGTGTAAATATATATAAAAACTTGTAAAATATTTGTTCTGGTACAATAACTTTTCTAGTCCATGTAAACATGGACAATGTCAAAATTATTCACCCAAGCAAAATGATAAAGTATGACTCTTACACTAATGAAAGCTACAAGTAACATGTAGGTTGCAACCCACGCTGACAGTTGCCTTTTTAGAAGGGTTAATCATACAAATGCCACCAGGTGACCAGGGTTTCTAGAATTTTGTCAGTCTAATACTCTACCATCGTTTATTAGCTATTTGCTCTTATGTCACTAGTTTGAATTTTTTTTTGTCAAAATGCCACAACACTGTTAAATTTGACTAACGCAATCAATTCAACAGGCTTCGACAATTTCTTGAGAAATTACACTTGGGGAAAAACGAAATAAGGAAAAAAGAAGAGAGAAGGAAACTTTGCCTAGAGGTTAGTTATTTTGATGGTGGAGTGGCAAATATTTAACCTTGTGATACAAACTAGTGGCAAATTTGCAATAAAACAAAAGGTGATGGCAGATTGGAAAATTAGGTGTATAGGAGTGGCAAGTTCACATGTCCAAACAACTGTACATGGATTAAAATTTAAAATCTATACATAGGAAACATGGTCACACTGCCAAATCAAACCAGCAAATGAAATAAAGCATTGATAGGTTAGTCCAGGCTCTCTTATTCACAAGGCCTACTGTTACACAAATATATAGCAGTCGCCAGCAACTTTCACCACCACCTAATCTTCGAAGGAGCCACCTCCAACATCTGTTGAATCAGTATCGGTTGCTGGTCCATCATATTCATCTTCTGATTCACTGTCATCATTTGTTGATTCACTTAATTTATATGGTGATTCATCATAATTTGTTGATCCACCTGTACAGTCATATATAGATCGATTAATTTGCATGTCAACTGAATCTGGAAAAAGGAGAAATGTGGATGCATGCCAAAACCTGCAAGGCAATATACTAATTGGCATTGCAAGTTTGCAACAAGGGTTAATTAGATCCATGCCATCTAATTAACCCATACAACAATGAGATATAGAAGGTGTAGGTTGCACTAATAAATTGGAGTCCATCTCACAAGTGTAGCAACATTAAATAGACTTATTGTATGCTATGGTGAAGATAATTAAAGGGCATGCACAATAACCAGATATGATAATTTCTCAAAAAAAAAAAAAACCTCTCCACTTTAGGATGCCGGCATGAGACAACAGAGCCCATAGGTGGGTGATGAACTCGCCACCCTTAGCGAGGTGCTCTATGTGCTCTTCCACATTGTCGGATGGTGCAGCATAGACCAATGCCTTTATCCAAAAATTTGCTAGCACCTCCCAACGCTTAGGCATTGTTTCTAGTTGCTTCCCAAATGCCACACCCTCTTGGAATATGCGGGCTCCCTCACTTGGTTCATCATCTTTCCCTAGCCTTCTCATTGCATCCAATTTGTCTTTCGCTCCGTATAGTGATATCCTTGCCGCCTGTGCAACTTGGCTGTACACAGACTTAGTTCCTATTTCGTGTCTATGGAGTAGCCGTGGCGCGGAAACCATCAAGTATGCGCAATATTTTGATAGAGTGGTGGCCACACCATGATTCTTCTTTACGATCTCCTCAACATCCTCATCTTGAACAGAGAATCCCTCCTTGTGCATTACTAGTTCACAATAACATGTCGCGATATGAAACCTCATAATAGTGACAACATGGTCAGGAAGAAAAAGAAAACTAGTCCCAGACCATCCGTCATCATTCAATGAGGATGGCCAATTCTGTAGTTTACAGTTGCTGCTTATAAGAAAATCAACAATGGCTGCCTTCACATCATCGTGCAACTCAACAGAATCTCCTATTTTGATGCCCCACATTTCCCGGAACACTTGTTCAATGTATTGCAGCCCAAGAATCCCTAGAAGCCGGGAATATATTTGGTAAAGAAAGCCCCCAAGCGTGCTGAATAACTTGCACTCTCTCGTGCTGATTGATTCAATCAATGAGTATTGCCCAAGCTTATTTTGCCAAAGGTAACTGTTGTCACAGTCAATCCTTTTTAATATCCAGCGCCTTAACCTCATCCAACGGCTTAGCCGCTTACCCTTTTTTATGTAGTCACAAGCAAATGCAACTCTGGCCCAATTCGATGACCAACAGTGTAACAAATGCAAAAATTGCAGCAAAGCTAGGGATAACAAAATTACTAGAGTAATAATAAGGTCTACTGCAGTGGTGTCCACAATGATGGTGCCATCAGGACTACGTGTATGGGTACTCATCCTTCCATGTATAGCAGCCGCTACTCCAACAAAACATATCCCCATGACTGAAGCTAATCCCCAAATGGTTGTACTTTTTGATTCATAATAATGGAGGAATGCATTACTGGTGAAAAAGATATCATAGAGAAAAGACAACTCAACCTCAATCACATTGAACACCCTCTTATAATCAATAGCGGCATCCCTGCTCATCAGAAGACCTTCGAACAAAAACTTGCGGGCCACTAAATGCTTTGATTCCGCACAACGGAACCTATAGAAACGCCGTTGCAACAAATGAGATAGGGAGAAGGACAGGCACACATCACTCAAGAAATGGACTTCATTGCATTGCAGTATCTTGTCTATGGTGATGATGTCGTCAGGTGATGATTGTGGAAGGAATTTTGCCTTGCTCTTGTCAAGGGGCCAATGGACCACGTAGTGGTACCCAATAAGGTCTGGACAGTTTAGTTGATCCAAATAATCAGTTTTTGTTGAATAACTTATAACCTCCCCTGCCATAACCTCTGCAATCATTTTGATCATATCTCGTTGCAGGCTTGGCAGCATAAGCGCCAATGACCTATGAAAACCCTTAATGAAAGTGATAGCAGACAGGATGCCCATGGCTATGTAACCAACATCACTGGATATGGCCGAGATACTAATCAGCAGCACATACCCAGAGTAGAGGCAAAGCTGATATAGAATCTTCCAGAGCTGGCCCATGTAGTCATGACCATAGGTTGTGATTGAGTCAATGCAACCAAAGAGGGTCAACATGGACACAGCCCAGATGGGGTACACCTCACTCTTCACTGATGAAGATTGCATTAGACCTATGCTATATGTACTCAGGGACAGAGATAGCACATTTGTAGCCAAGACACCCTTTTGGACAAACCAGTGATTGGACCTACGACGAAAGGAGCATAAGGCAATAAGGAAGAAGGAAAGGGCAATGGCTAACAATGCCAATGCCTCGATCCGGATTACTGTCCCCCTATGGCTCTTCCACATGTCATTTGTTGCAGTTACATTTCCCAAGTTCTGCTCCATCTTCCCCATGCGGCGATAACCCACCTTGAAACAACAAGATATGCTATAACTGTAAGGCATGATGCCGATTTAACCATAATTAATGCTAATTACCACTACATGTCTATTTTATTTACCATATCATTAGTATTTTCATAGCAAATTATCATATTTAATTAAGTAAATTTTAGAAAACCACAACTATTTTGTCAAAACTACCAATTTACTGCAGTTTTAGCTAAGCATTTTAGATAACCGCTACAATAGTGCATGATTTTATCATGAAGCTACAACTTTGTTTGTCTGACAAGTTTGGGCCCACGTGTCATACACATATGCAATATTCACGCTGTTACAAATTGGGTCCACATGTCATACACACATAGAGGATAAAATTACAGTTTTCCAATAAAATCATCTGCTATTATCACAATTTTTTAAATGCCCAGCTGAAGTAGTAGTGAAGTGGTAGTTTTGACCAAATAATCACAGTTTTGTGAAATTCACTCTATTTAATTTTATGGCATCACTAGTACAGACAAGGATAGTCCTAACATTTTGGGGGACAGGGTTAAGGTAAAAAGGGAGGCCCTTATAAACAAATTTTCTTTTCATTGTAACTACGAAGCTAATTTTTATTGTCATCGTCATCGACATTCATTAGTATCTTCTAAAGTTCTACTAGCTTGCTCATCAATGGCAACTATAGTTTATTCCTCTTAATTTTTCTAGTATCACATCTCCAAGGCCTTTCATATGGTTATGGAAAACCAAATGTGTTATGAAGATAAAAGTGTTCATATGGCTACTTTTCTATGATATACTAAACACCAGAGATATGCTTGATAGGAAGAATTGTGCCCCTGTATATGCTGATCTCTTTTGTGTGTTATGTTCAAGCAGGGTGAGGGAGACCATGATGCATTTGTTCTTTCTATGCCCTTTTAGCAAGAGATGCTGGAGGAGATAGGCCTTACATGCAATACCAATTTGAATATTTTTCAGATGTTGGCTTTGTCAATGATCTATTTCAGAAGAAAAGGTTTCATGGAAATTATGTTCATTGCATCCTAGTACATTTGGAAGCAAAGGAATGGATTGATATTTCAGAATATCTAGCCATCTGAAGGCATATGGTTTCAGGGTTTCAAGCATGAAATTCTCCTACATATGTGTAGGATGAATGAGCCTTTAAGATCATTTGTTTCTGATTGGTTATAAAATTTGTAAAGATTTTGCCTGTAATATGTAATTAAGCTCTATTCTTTTTTTAATATATAACTACTGGGATTGTATGGCTAGTTCCTCTTAACTCCTAGAAGAATAGTATTAACCTTAAAAAAATGTCAATTGCTCCTTCTGGGATACCATAAACTCATACATGCATCTTCTTTATTTCTATTTTCATTTTCAGATAGATACTTTCTAGATGACATAGTACAATGTACATCTTCCATCATTATAAGGGATCCTAGTTATTCAAATTTTGTTCTAAAAAATAAGGGATTCTAGAGTACTACTTCTCCCATCAGTCACCCCTTAATCAATGTTCTTCAAATATTACCCCCAACCAACACCTCACCCCCACAAATATACCTTATTTAATAAGGGGCATCATAGTTTTTTTTTATTCCTTAAACTCTAAAGACCCCCATTACCCCTTATATTATGTGATAGAGAGAGTACCAAATAACATTACACTATAGTAGTACTCCTCCATTCTATATTGTAAGGTGTTTTAATTTTGTCACGTGTAAAAAATTTTTAACTGTGACCAAGTTTATAGAAAGCACACTAACATCTATAACATTAAATTAGTTTCATTAAAATATACCATAAAATATATCTTGATATGTATTTATTTGGTATTATAGATGTTAATTATTTTTCTATAAACTTAGTCAAAGCTAGAGAAGTTTGACCGATGAAAGTAAAACATCTTACAATATAAAACATAAGGAGGAGTTAAATAAGGAACAAAGGCACCTAGATGCTTAGATTGGTTAGATAACCCGTAATGCGAGAAAACATGAAAATTTAGATCTATTAAAAAAAATCTAAAAATAGATTCATAGATAACATAAAGTTTAGGACTAGTGCAAATGTAACTTAGTTTCGCATCTATTAAGGTAAGAAAATCAAACCATGAACATCCTTCTGTCTTCAAGAATGTCCAATCTGACCTCTCTAGCTAACTCTCTCTTAGGCTCAATGCAGATCTTCAGAATAGGGGAAAACAAAATTAGACTTGAAGTCTTATCCTCTAGGATGATTGGAGACTTTGGATTGGAGTGTTATTTAACAGCTACTCAAACAAACAAAAAATGGAGAGAACGTACCAGGGACGAAATTGACGACAACGAGGGGATTACGAGGGGAGCCATTGCAAATTGAAGGAATTAGAGGTGAGATGATTGAAAACTGCTCAAAACCTGGATTATTCTCCTCCATTTACATACATCGGCATATGGAGCGAAGACAAAAGCTTAGCCGGCAGAAGAGGAGCCATCGGCTCCTCGTCTCCGGAAGAAGAAGGGAACGAACGAGGCAAGGAAAATATGCGTGCAGGCAGCAGAGGTGTGCGGCTGGAGTTAGGCAGTGTTCGTTTGGAGGACAATGTGGGAGAAAGCACCTCGTTTTCCGCACGCACGCTTTCCAAACTACTAAACGGTGTGTTTTTTGCAAAAATTTTCTATAGAAAAGTTGCTTTAAAAAATCATATTAATCCATTTTTTAAATTTAAAATAATTAATACTCAATTAATCATGAGCTAATGGCTCACCTCGTTTTGTGTATCTTCTTAATCCCCTTCTTCTCAAACACACCCTTAGTTGTGTTGCGTATTGCTTCTGCTGTTATTGGTGTCTTTGATGAGATACTGTGGTGGAAGGAATCAAGGAATACACCAACTTGTACAGATTTTTACCCGAAAAAGATTCCCACGGATATACTATTTGGCAAGCTGAAAGATCAATGAATAGTCTTCCTGACCATTTCTGTTAGTTTATCTCAACTATATTCTTGCTTAATGACTTCGCAGAAGTGAAAGACATTTCTTGGATTATGTAGGATCTTGGTCAAACGTTGGACTTTCTTGTATGTCAAAAACAAGTAGCAGTTGATGATAGAAAACATTGCATTGATAGAAGAATTACGTGATATGTTCCTCCGTTCCAAAATACAAGGTATAACTACTTTTTTCCCCATATGTTTTAAAATTGGAGTATAAGTCATGCATGTATGCAATTAACTATCATATCCTCTCTACTAAATTACTATTTTTTAAATGCTCCATCCTCAAGATCTCTAATTCTATTGGATGTATGCATTGTATTTAATAAAGTGATCCAAATAAGAAGATGATAATAAATATTTCTTAGTTTTTGAGTTAAGGTGGTTATATCTTATATTTTGGAATAGATGGAGTATAAGTGGGGCTGTCAATAAGCCGAGCTCGAGTGAGCTTGCTTGTCTGAGCTCGAGCTCGGTACAAACTCGAGTTGAGCTCGAGCCGAGCCTCATCAAGTGTCAAGCTTTCAGTCAGGCTCGGGCTCGACTCGTTCGAGCTTCGAGCTTTTTCTCGAGCTTGGAAGTACTTAGCTGCAGCATGTGAGCTTGTACCAGTACTACTACTAGCACGCACAATAGTATTACTTCTAGCATGCGCAAGCAGCATGCAAGAGCTTGTACTACTACTACTAGCATAGGAAAAATAATTCACTGATAGAGATGCACATTAAATCTACTGTGCAACTTTTTTATTGGGGAGTGTCAAGTGTGCTAGTGCTAGTACTACTCGTTGGCATTTGAAGAAGCAAGAGCATATACATTAGCAGATTATTAGATTATTAGCTAGCTATAAATATATTTTAATAAGATAAAAGATGAGAGAGAAAAGCAGCGAGCTACAGATCTGTAGCCAGCTGCAGCACGGACTCCAAGACACAATATATGTATGACAGGTGGGACCATATATTAATAGTATAGTAAGCAACTATTGTACGAATTAGCTATTAAATTAGCTATAGATAAATTGGAGCTAGTAGTGGGCTATACTATTAAACTTGCTCTAATGGCTGGTGTGAATAATTTAATAAAGATAGATGTGAGCATATGATACAATGGAGTAATAGGAAATAGCATGAGACTTTTCGACTGTAGGTGAGCAGCTAAGCTCGTCAAGCCATTCGAGCTCGGCTCGGTGGGGCTCGCGAGCCTTAGTGCAAGCTCGAGCTTCGAATCGAGCTCGAGCTGAGCCTACAACGAGCTAAATTCGAGTAGCTTGCGAGTCTCGAGTTTTTTTGACAGCGCTAAGTATAAGGCTATCATTAGCAAGCTCCTGTCACACATCATGTGCTTCTGTATTTGTCGAAGGACTTGTGGTAGATGTCTATCATTTATACATTCTTCCAAATGCAGCTATTGGTAATATTGAAGTTGTTTTTGTCTTTGTTTTTTTTCAAAATTTTCAAATCACTCACCACTTCTTCCATTGGAAGAAAGGAACTCCATTTGCTTCTGATCACCAAGGCATCTACACCAAACTAAGGCCGTGTTTAGTTCACCCTCAACTACCCCAAACTTTCAACTTTCCATCACATCACATCATATCTAAAACTTTTCTACACACATAAAATTTTTTTAAAAAAAATTCAAACTTCCAACTTTCCCCAAACTTCCAACTTTTTTCAAAAATAAACACAGCCTAACTTGGTGGGAACAAATTGATAAAGGGCAGCAGCTGTCCTTTATCATGGGCCGGTTTCTTAACTGTGGCACATGTCGTGCTGTAAGTTCCATCTCACGCTTCATCATGAGATTTCGTTCTTGTCGATGTAGAAAAAAGTCAAAATGAACAATATTTTTTCCAATAAGTATTTCTGGGTGGAAGCATCCTCCATTCTGAAGGAATTCAATAATTTTCTGCTCTTATTTTTGAGATGGGACAGGAGGGCTACCTAGTTGATTGGTGAACGATAATTTTCGTGCTCTTAAGGCTACCGTTTGTTTAGTTCCATAAGGCTAGAACTTAATTATCCATTTTGGATTGTGCATTGTTTTTTGTTCTTGGTGGACAGGTTTTGCAACAAGGAAACTAACAGGCTAATCAGCTAAGCTTAGTTCACGGGTTGATGGATTTGTATTTAGAATTGGAGGGAATACTGGTTTAATTTAAATGGCTTGACAATAGGGATAGAGTTATGTCCTCCTGACATATGGAGGGCAAACAAAGTAGGGCTTTTACTTACTATATTATATGGGTGTGTTCTATACTCAACCTTTCCAACTTCTCCCTCGTTTTCCACGCACACGCTTTCTTAACTACTAAATGAGGTATTTTTTAAAAAAAAATTATAAAAAAGTTATTTTAAAAAATCATATTAACCATTTTTAAGTTTTCTAGGTAATACTTAATTAATCAAGCGCTAATCCGCTGATCCTTTTGTATGCCGGAGAAAGGGTTCCTAACCCTCTATGCCGAACATAGCTTAAGATGTTTTAACTTTTCTTTAAGTCAAACTTACTTAAGTTTGATCATGCTTATAAAAAATGTAGCAATGTATACAACACCAAATTAATTTCATTAAATCTAACACTGAATATAATCTGATACTATATTTTTTTAGAAAATCTTGCTATATTTTATAATATGAAACAGAGGGAGTAGCTCATAACAACAATATTTATGCCTCCTCGTTCCCTGGGACGTCCACGCGCAAAAAAAAACATTATCGTTGCAACGAAGTGAAATAGATTTTCTTTTCCTCGCAAGAAAAAGTAAATTAGTTGGTTTTGACAGTCACGTACCATATTGCTTCTGCTTCTGTCTTCCATTACGAGTTGAGGTATCCTCTGTTGAGGTATCCTCTCTTCTCACCTCTTCTGGATGCTAGAAAATGTTACTAGAATAGGTCCACCTGATCTCCTCTTGAACAGACTAAATTAAGATGTTCTTGAAACTACTTACAGATGTGGGCACGCTTATGCTTTTATAGAGACCAAGGTTGCTCTTCAGGGTGCCTTTGCCTGTCAATGGGTAGGTAGGCTTTCTTTATGCCTTGCTCTTCCTCTTCCCTTACATATTCTTGTCAACATATTCCAGTTCTAATAGAGGAAGAAAATGGCTTCAGAGTGATCCACAGCTGCATTGGCTACACCTGTTCACTGTTATGCGCCTTTCTTAGATGTTCTCCATTTTTTTGCGTTTGCGTATGCATTTGAGGAGCACCGATACCATCGTCCTATAGATGCCTCTACGCCCTTCACCTTCACCCATCCGCTCCTTCTTTTCACGCTTCTTTGCACATAGGCATGCTGTCAACTAGGAGTACTCCGTAGAACTGATGCAGCACTGTTAGGGAAAATAGATGCAAAAGAGACACATATTTTTACGTGAAAAAATCCTTCTAATGTGGACAAGAAAAAAAAACCACGGGAGACAAAATCAACTAATGACGATTCAGGGTTACATGTACAACGGTAGCCCATATATATAGGCATGTATTGCACTAGTCCCTACTTCTAAGAATATATTTGAGGCCGTGTTTAGTTCACCTCCAACTACCCCAAACTTCCAACTTCGCATCATATCACATCACATCTAAAATTTTTCTACACACATAAACTTTTAACTTTTTTTTCAAACTTCCAACTTTCCCCAAACTTCTAACTTTTTCAGGAACTAAACACAACCTGAGTTATTATTCAGCATACCTTCCCTTGACTCAAAAACCCTATACATATGTTGCATATACATATGTTGCAGAAGAAATGTCTCCAAAACCCCAAAGGTCAATACCATCCCTTTGGTCAAAACCTTTCACCACTAAACGGGCTTTCCATCTTGCAGGTTTAACTCCAGAAATACGTACATTTCTTCATCTTATAAATCCATTTGCACTTTAATAGTTTTTTACCCATTTAAAGCTTTGCCAAATCCTATGTATGATTTTTATGAAGACTCTCAATTTGTTCATTCATATAGTAGTTAACCATTTCGAAGAATTTTCACATGAGATAGCTTCAGAATAAGAAGGTTCAATAATATCATTAATATCTTGTGCAGCAAGAAGAGCATAACAGGCCATATCATCAATGTCACGATATCTAGCAGGCAGTCGAATGTTTCTTCTATTTCTATCTTGAGCAATACAATGATCATTATTATCATAAAATGACGAATCAGAAGCTGTATAGTAGGATTGACTATAGAATCAGCATCAACAGTAAGCAAAACTATCTCAAATTCTGCATTCCTTGCAACAGCTTCATTAGTTTCAGATTCAATTAGGGTATATTATCACTACCTGATGAGAGAAAAATATCTTCATTAATGTGACATCACGACTAATGATCAATTTGTGAGCATCAGAACACCCTAAACGATATCCTTTGACACCAGAATCATAACCAACAAATACGCATTTTCTCACTCTAGGATCTAATTTCCTAGTGTTTCCTAGTGTTAACATGAGTATAAGCAGGACAACCAAAAATTCTCAAATTGGAATAATCAACTAGTTTACCAGACCAAACCTCTTCTGGAATCTAGAAATTTATAGCAAAATTTAGAGAACGATTGATCAAATAAGAAGCTGTAGAAATAGTTTCAGCCCACAAACGCATGCTTGTTCCACAGGCTTGCATTTGAAAGCATGCAACGGGCTCTTTCTAGAAGAGTGCGATTCATACGCTCTGCCACACCATTTTGCTAAGGAGTTCCTGGAACAGTCAAAAGTCTTGCACTACCATGATTAGCACAAAAAAATATCAAACTCACCACTACAAAATTCCAATCCATTATCAGTTCTAAGCTTCTTTAATTTATTTTTCTGCCAGTTTGATTTTCCACCAAAATTTTTCACTTCTAAAACACTGAAAGAGCTTCATCTTTATGTTTTAAGAAATAAACCCAACTTTGCGAGAAAAATCATCCATGAATGCTATAAAGTACTCACATCCACCAATAGAATGAAACTTAGACTTATCTCAAAGATCAGAATGAATGTAGTCAAGAATTCCTTTGGTTTGATGAGTTGCAATGCTAAAACTGACTCTCTTTTGTTTGCCAAAAACACAATGTTCATAGAAATCAAGTTTGCCAATATTATCTAAATGACCTTTCTTGCAAATAAGATGCATACCTTTCTCACTCATATGACCAAAAGGCATATGCCAAAGCTTGGTAGTGTGAGGATCTGATGCAATAGTGGAAACAACTACTACACCTGTAATTGTAGATCCTTGTAAATAATAAAGATTGTCGATTCTATGGCCTTTTAACACAACAAGGTTGCCTTTTAAAATCTTAAGAACACTGTTGCCACCAACATATTTATATCCCCAGGATTCAAGAGTGCCTAAAAAAATAATATTTCTTTTCATTCTAAGAACATGGTGAACATTTGTAAGGGTCCTGACAATGCCATCATTTGTTTTAATTTGAACATAACCAATTCTAGAAATTTCAATTGGAGACCTATCACCAATCACGGGGAAGTATCCCGTGCAATACCACTATCCAGTGGGAGAATACAATATGCGTTGTAAACCATCGGATATAAATTGTACAGCATAGATTGAGGTGGACTCAAACCTAAAGTCACTTTATAACATTTGCAGAGATCCCCTCGTTATCTACCTTCTTCGACTCCACAGTCCACCCAATCCCCTCCGAGCCATAGGGGCGATTTGAACTCATGGAGAGACCGCCGCCGCACGGCGCCGAAGCGGTTCGTCATGCGTCGGCTGCAGTTTCATTCATTACGTTAGAAGGATGCTGATTGCCTCCCCGTCCTATGCGATATGCGCCGTCTCAGCCATTCCGACAGTCCACTCAAGCAGCATCAAATTGCCGAGTTCTGGGACATTTGTTACACTTTCTTTTTTTAGTTGAGGAAAGATCTGAATTTTATCTGTGAATTTTTCGACCAACTCATCGTACTCTGTAGATTTTGAGAATCTTGATGACCCTTTCTGATTCCGTGGTTTTCTGTTCAATGCGATGCACTTTTCCTTCATGGCCCTTTCAGATGCCATTACTTTCCATCTCTTTGAACCAATTACTAATTAGCATTTACATTTCCCCAAGAAATCGCAGCTCAGAGCAAACACTGCCGTGGGAAAGAACACTAATAATGCATTTCTTGTGACCTAGCATTAGATCGGCATTTCAGGGAGATGGCAGCCTAGGCTATCTCCGACGGTCCGACCTCGACCTTGCTGCCAGCGTCAGATTGGGCTCCAGCCTCCAGCCATGGTGTCAGATCGGGCATCAGGGAAACGCGGCGCGAGCAGATCCGCCAAGGGCGACGACCGGGAGCGGCCGATCTGCGGCCACGCCGTCACTCGCACATACGCTCGAGAGGAAGAGGAAGAGATAGTCAGAGGACTAAAAGGAAAATATTTTTGATGGAGGCGGGTGGCTTTTTGCAAAATGTGCGGTGAGAATGAGGAGCTCGATCTGGCACGTACATTTTAGATCCAACGATAAGGGATGGAAATTGCATTGTTGCATCGAATGGTGCTATTGCACCTGATACTTCCCCCACCCATCACAACCTCACCACTATCAACAGAATCGTAAGTAGAGAATCACTCTTTCTATTGACATATATAAAAAGTTTAAGCCGAATCAATAATCCAAGTAGTTCGATTCTCCATACTAGCAGTGCTGATTAGAACCTCGCCATCAGAATCATTAGCAACAAAATTATCCTCAGCAGGTTTTTCATTTTGAGTTTTAGATCTTTCTTTCTTCCTTTTCAACTTATAAAGCTGATAAATATCATGATTATCTTTCTTACAATAATGAAAAAAAATTATGGATTTACTGTCTCTTGATTTAGATCTGGACTTTGATACAGAAGAATCACCTTTTGGGAAGATCTACCTCTAACAATTAACCCCTCAGCTTTAATATCAGAATGAGAATCAGTATCAAATTTCTCCTTGGACAACGAATTTGATTTAACATCATCAAAACTAAAGGTATCATAATTGCCATAAAACATAATTTCTTTAAAGTGTTTAAAGGTAGCAGACAAAGACAATTAGTAAAGGGCCTGTAACCTATTGGTTACAAGAGCCTCAGTAGCACCTGAGGTCCTGGGTTCAACTCCCCGTGGGAGCGAATTTTCCAGGATTTAACAGCGTTGTGCTACTGGGAGTGAATTTTCCAGGATTTAACGCCTCCAGGATTTAACGGCGTTGTGCTTTCAGTGGTAGCGATTTGCTGGCTCAGTCGAGTGAATTTTCCAGGATTTAACGGCGTTGTGCTTTCAGTGGTAGCGATTTGCCGGCTCAGTCTTCGAAGATACTCATAAAGAGAGGGTTTGCATGCGTTGCAAAAAAAAAAAAGACAATCAGTAAAGTAGCCTTATCCTCATCATCAATTTTCATGTACATCTAACTTCTCTTGATCAATCAATGATGAGCGAATTAAACTCATTAAGATGAGACTGACTAGATTTACCTTCTGCCATGCGAATACGTTCACCAGCTGGAGGACTGCTACTGCTCTGAATCTCCGACAAGAGGTAATGTTCTGTCCTTCAGTTTTCTCCGTCACAGATCACTTCCTGATATTTGATTGGTCCATTCCGTATGGAATGATATGGGATCCTCCAAAACTAGCAGCTTGATACGAGCAAAATTCAGTTATAACATCAAAAGTTTAATAAAAATGGAGAATTTAACTATTTGCCGCTTTTAGGTTTTACAATTATCCAAATTTCATTCTTAGATTTTTTTTTCCCCTTTAAAGAGATGGCATTTTAACTATTTGTCACTTTTGACCACGTGGCATGCTAATGAGACAATCCAGGGTAGAAACCAGTGTGGGACCCATTAGTCAGCCTCTCCCATCCCCTTCATCTCTTCCTCTAGCCCACAGATGGCGACGACGAGCACCCTAACACTGGGGTCACAGTCCTGGCCCCTC